CACCCGACAAAAACATTGGACTGGGTAAAGGTACAACTCTGTCGGTAGGTATTTCGTTAAGGAGGTTGGGCTATTTCACACCGAAACTTCTACAAATGGCTGTGAGGTGGTTGTATTGAGTCTCTGGATGGAAAGTTCACTAGCTACTTCCACTTTCGTACCATAGCAGTCACACTCGGTCGTGAAATTACGGAATTTTGCATCTACGTACGCTCATTGGTACATGTTGGCAAGACTCAAGGTTTCTCGGTCGGACTGAGCCAAGAATAATAAACTGACTAGCTCAACAAATGCACTTGATGGTGAGGAAGGCAACTCTTCATGAAGTGAAAAACGCTGCCTCGTTCTGTTAAACTATTGCGCTAATGATAACTACCGCAATATGCCTGCGTACGACTCAAAGTCTTGAACACCAGGCAATGTTTCTTGTGAGCTCATTATTTCAGCTGCGCTGATTTGGATTTCCTGCGAAATGCACACTAACTGAAGTGCCGTGTCAGGTCGACCCCCCGACGTCCTCAGACAACACAGAGTGGTAACAATTCTTGAGTACGGGAGACTTAGGAAGTGAGGCGTTGGCAACCGAGCCGAACCTCGTCATCTTAAGTCAACTGTGGGCTTTGCCGTCACTGACTACTGAGAAAACAATTGAACAATCGCAGCAGAAAAACGGCGAATTTAGTACAAAGAACTCTGGCCCCATCGATGAACGACAGCTTGAAACGTCACCTTATGAAGTGAGCGTTCAAGATCCTTATGCCTGCAACTGTCATTGCCCCATCAGTATGAGTAGGCTGTAAGACAGGATGTTCGAGCAAGAGAGCTACGCCATTCTCATCTCAGTCAGACATGGCTTCTGAGTAGTAAAGTAAGGCTACTGGACTGGCCGAATTTCTACCCTCATCTCAGTCGTTCGAGAAAACATGGAGCACACTAACATGTCGAGCACATAAAGATTCAAAAATCTGACCGAAAGACGAATCAGTGGAATGCTGTAAAACGCCATTCAGATGGCCACCAAAAACACGGCACGGCGATCACGGCGGCTCCTAAGTGATATGCCTAAAATGTATAGTTAAAACCTCTTCTGTCAGGATATTACAGCCTTTAGTCATAAGTTTCTTCCATTTTGTATTTCGTTCCCGACGTTACCTACCACCTTCCTGGACGAGATGGCCCAACTGGTTAGAGCGCGACTTAACTGACCGGAAGGTCCGTGGTTCGAACCCGACCTCTGTCTCTCGACTCCCTGTCTAGGCTTGAGCAACCTGGCAGTATCCCTGCCCTCGTGCCTCCTTCGTGTGCCATGGCAGCTAGGCACCGAAAAAGTGCTACAGGTCAACGATTGTTGTTTGTTGACTGTTACCACCTTTCTATCTAAATAGTTTTGATCCATTCACCAACAGTGCGGTTACGGCCAAAACCATGGAGGGTCTCGTAACTTTACCGCGCATGCAGCAGTCAGTCTCGTCGTTCGAGGACCGATAAACCTGGTCACCGTTCGTATTTGACACAAAAAAATATCACTTGTCAAAAACGTCTGAGCTAATGCACATAGTTGAACAACGGCAGATGGAAGAACTTTTCGGGATCCGGTCAAAGCTCTGAAGAAACAAGAAAAATATGAACTTGTGTGCAGCAAGGGGTCAAAAACGACCGACTGTATGCCAAAAGCCATTCAATGGCAGCCTGATATTCTCCAATTGGTGTCGGAGGTTGAGTTCAAAGCCCTTTGTAACCTACGCAAGTCTGCAGAGAATAATTTTAGCACTCATCAACCAACTGAACTCGGAAGGTCATTTCCAATCGCTAAGTCGTCACGGGGGATTTGCACGAAATACGAACTGACCAAAATGCTTTGCAAACAAAACGGCTCGGAAAACATTGAAGTATAGTACAGTGGTAGCAAAAGCTGGTGCGGCAAAAATCCCTAATATTAGGGGGGCACCGGACACTTTATAAATTCCTTGATATCTTGAGTATGTCACAGGTTCTGGTACACATTCGTGTTATTGCATCAACCCAAACAAAGAACACCTTCAAGTTAGTGACATAGAAGAAGTTGGCAGACCATGGTCGTTGGCTTGTTCGCTGAGCTGGGCAATTTGGTTGCAAACGTTTCATGATGAAACGTTTGCAACCAAATTGCCCAGCTCAGCGAACAAGCCAACGACCATGGTCTGCCAACTTCTTCTATGTCACTAACTTGAAGGTGTTCTTTGTTTGGGTTGATGCTCGCTTTTACAATAACACGAATGTGTACCAGAACCTGTGACATACTCAAGATATCAAGGAATTTATAAAGTGTCCGGTGCCCCCCTAATATTAGGGATTTTTGCCGCACCAGCTTTTGCTACCACTGTACTATACTTCAATGTTTTCCGAGCCGTTTTGTTAGCAAAGCATTTTGGTCAGTTCGTATTTCGTGCAAATCC